AAAGCACGACCCATTGTACTATTTTAAGATAAAAAAAATCTTTTAAAGTTTTTTTTTATATATAACTGAACAGGGTAATCATTGTAATTGATATTGGGTTTTAATGATAGCAATAATAATATTAATGTAGAGAAATGGAGTGAAACCTAACCAAAGCTATCAGATATGTGAACACAATTAGCAAAAAGTAGTAAAAATAAATTAATGGCTGCTCAGTGGGGCAGTGGCTAACGCTGATGTCTTGCAGCAAGAAGGTTTTAGGTTCTATTCCCGGGGGTCTTTCTTCATGGAGTTCGCATGTTCTCCCTGAGCATGCATGGGTTTTTTCTGGGTACTCCAGCTTCTTCCCACAATCCAAAATATGACTGTTAGGTTATTTGGCTAATCTAAAAGATTCTTAGGTGTGAGTGTGTGCGTGAATGGTTGTGTGTCTATGTGTTGCCCTGCAATGGACTGGCGACCTGTCCAGGGTGTACCCGCCTCTCGCCCATTGACAGCTGGAGATAGGTACCAGCACCCCTCGCGACCCTGCTTGCGCGTGACAGAAAATTGATGGAAAGTTAAGTTAAAAGGTCATTTTTGGAACATAAGCTTTACTTTTTACAATACCTGAGTTGAAACAATTTCAGACTGACTGTGTTAACGCCGGATTTTTCACCATTTTGTTTAAAAAAAACAAAAGGTAGAACTGTAAATTTACAGTAATTTTTACAGTTTTTCAAGGCTGCAATTTTAAAAGATTAAATTGTCCAGTGAGCTGTTTCCAAACGAAATTTATTTTTGTTTTACACTTGTGTAAACAAAATGACAAGTAAAATCTGTCTAAAGTTTACTATGTGAAATATTTTATTTTGAAGGTGTAGGCAGAAAAAAAAAATACTTCACGCCCTTAAGGCGGCGTTAGATACCATTTTATTTCAAGCACCTGTTTTCGATATCTAATGCAAGAAATATATAATTAAAAGCTTATTGGGATCAAGCAAATGGCAGAGAGTGGAGTAGTCGGTGAGTTTTAATATGATTGTGTGTAACGGCTTAAGTCAAAATTGGCACATTAAGTCTAGTTTTCCATTTGTCGTCATTACGGCGTTAATATATATATTTAAAGGCTGATTGTAGTAGCTTATAAAGTGGTTTAGTAAAGTTTAGGTTTTGAGGATAATGTGACCATTTTATCATATTTAACACTGGAACGCAGGTTTTAATCAGCTCCTTTCACTTTCACTTTGGGTTTTATATTGACTTAAAATGTATGTATAATGTACATAGAATTGAGGCAGTCTGAACTCGATCAGCTTTTACCAGGGATCCGGGATTTTCAATAGGGGGGTGCGCAACTAAGGATAATGAAAAGACAACGCTAATTGAAATCAGTGTTTTCCAACCAGCGGTAGGCGTACCCCTAGTGGTCCGCGAGGGTATTGAAAGG